TGCATTTAAATTATATTTATTATAGGTTAAAAATTAGAAAAAAAATTTAAATTATACTACAGTAATGTATTTTTTTTTTGATTGTACTTTGTTACTTCATTAGCTTTTTTATGCTTCTGTTTCCTTAATCATTCATTCTAAAACAATAATTTAAAAAAAAATTTAATATTTTAACTTGTTTTTGCTAGTTGTTATTAATACTAACCTGAACAAAATCGCTGTTGCTCTGTATAATGATATGCTGTCTTATATTTTCAAATAAAAATGATCGTCGTTGATCGGATAATATACTTTTGTAAGTAGAAAAACTTCTTTCGACTTCGACGGATGATACTGGAGCATATTTAAAGTTTGAAATATCGTCCGTCGTTATATCTTCTGGTATATTGTTTTCATCAGGTTTTTCACCATTTATAATTTTTGAAATATTTTGTAGTATTTTCAACCCTTTATTTTTATTTAAAACATTTTCCATTTTTTTATTTTTTGTGAATCGCAACAATTTTCGTTCATTTTATGAATAAATTGTGAAAAATGCTCTAAAAACCGATAAAATGCACTAAAAACATAAAAAAATGTCCTAAAAATGCATAGGAAAAAATACTTTAAAATAATCAGTATCACTCAAAACACATTTTATACTTACGGATCAACGTTTCAAAACATCGGAAAAAAAGATGCCTTTGCATAAAAATCCCAGCCCTAGTCATTACCTACAACTACCACTTTTACAGACTTGGACACTGAAAACTACAAAGGCAATGGCCACTCCTCTGAATTGCCACCCATATAACAATATTCTTTGACATAGTGTTCGCGAGCAATACGACGTAGCTTTTTATCCAGGGATAATGACATAATGCGTGTTTTAATTATTATACGAGAGAAAATTGTTTATTACGTGTTCGGAGTGCACAAAATAGACAGGTAATGATATTATAATAATTAAAAAATAATACGTGACTAAAATAACACGCCCGCTCGTGTTCACTGCTTCGATTATAGTCGGGAGAATGAAAAGTGGCCTCTGATGCACACACTTCTGGTGGTGAATTTCTGTGACGGTTTCGCAGGCCGCTCTGCATTTTTAAATATTAGATTTAGACATAATTATACCCAATTCAAATGTATTGTAGAATGATGTTGTACATGAGATTTTTAGTACCCCTGCTTCCAGAAAGAAAAAAAAGGTTGCTAACACATATTTTACAGCGGTCACTTTTCATTCTCCCGACCATTGTCAGTTGAACAATACAACCGTCAATCAACCGTATATCAATATCAAAATGTTTAGGTACACAATGATGGAGCACTCAAAATATTAGGATTTGTTAAACGTAATACCGCCAACTTCACATCTAGCTCTTGTCTCAGTATACTGTATTTCCCCTTTGTTTCTCTCCGTTTTAGAACATGGAGTAGTGATATGGCACCCATACCTAGCGCGCAATGAACTGCAGAGACTGGAGCGAGTACAGATTTGTATCCTATGCTGCCTTCAAATTAAAAATTAAACATCCCATACACGATTACTCACTCATTTCCTCTAATCTTCGAATCCCTTCTTTAGCCTCTCGCCGCGCAGGGGCCGACCATCATTCCATCTCTTCACTTCTTGAGGTATCTCTAGATTTTCCTGAATTGCTCTCTTCTATCTCGTTCCGTGTTCCATCGCACTCTACTAGAAATCGTTCCCTTTTTCAATTACCATACCACCGCACTTCCTATGGATTCAACCACCCACTCCACAGAATGTACGCAGCCTCAACTCAGCCTAGTCGTTCGCATTTTTTACCAGATATTTATTCACATATTTATACTATTGTTACTGTATTATTCAACTGTTTTTGTTATATTTAATTTTACCAACAAAATATTGTACTTAAATTAATGCCTGTCACGACGTAAATCAATAAATAAATAAATAAATAAATATTATTTATATTATATTATGCATTATACATGCATGCGCAGTGTTTATATTATATCTCAACGTTAAATGAATATAGTAATTTGTAAACGGTCCATAAAAGATACTACGAGCTTTGTACTACTACGCGGTATCTACTCCGTAGAGATAACCGTGACTACTACTTATAAGCATTTAACTCGTTATTCGTTATACTCAAACGTGAACGGTATAGGTACATGCTTAAATATTATTCATATTTGTGCAATATAATAATCGAGTAAAATCCCTATGTAAGCACTACAATGGCACAATAAAATAAAAGCCGCGGACACAGGAGAATGGAAAATTAAATTTAACAATATTGCTTTAATAATAATTTCCCTGCGTGGGGTTTCCGAAGAAGACAAAAAGTACAACCATTGAAACTCGAAGAAAACTTCGAAAACTATTTTAATAACTATAAATATTCAAACATTTTAGATTCTGAGCGGAGCGATGAATGTATTGGTTTTACAATGATGTGTGTTTTTATATTTTTATATTTTTATATTTTTTTTTGTGTCTGTCATCACGTTTTGGGACAGTAAAAGTGCTTCGATTTTCTTCAATAGTACCTTTTCTGATAGGAAAGTGAATCTAGTTGGTACTTTGGGGGCTCAAAAGTAAACATTTTCCAGTAGTTTTCACAAGCGCCGGGAAAAACAACATAAAAATTCAGGAAAAACGGGAATTTTTAGGCAAAATCGATTTTCCAAAAAATCGAATTTGGTTTTTGGTGTAACTTTAAAACAAATGACCGTAGATACATGAAATTTTCACTGGTTGTTTATATTTGCATTTTCTATACACGATAACATTTTCAAAATATTTTGATTTATTTTGAACTGTTTAGGGACATTTTCATTTTTCATTTTTTTTTTAGTTTTTTTTCTAGAAATATCAATAAAATTTTATTTGTTGGTTGCGAAAGCTTGAAAATTTAATAGAAGGCTCCTAATATGTTGTTTCAAAGGCAGATGAAAAATATTAAAAATCCTTAGTCACAATTTTTTTTTATAAGCATTTAAAGTTCAAAAATTTAAAAAATATGGAAAAATCACGAAAATTAGCAAATTATTTTGAGTTAAGAATTCGTAAAAATTTTTCTTTTTAAATCTAAGATTTGAAAATGAAACACAAGATTCCTTATAAGATTATCTACCTTTATCAATAAAAAAATCTCTACCGGACAGTCAAGTTAAATTTTTATGAGCGTTTGAAATTCAAATTTTTACAACATTGGATATTCACTCGATTACTCATGTAGCGATTTCCTTATTTTGTTGCAATTCAAAAACGAACAACTGTAGATACATGAAAATTTCACTCAATGTTTAAATTAGCATTTTCTATACACCATACAATTTTGAAAATATTTTGACTCTTTTTGAGCTGTTTATGGACATTTACAGCTTTCAATTTTTTTTAGTTTTTTTTTCTATAAATATCAATAAAGTTTTATCTGTTGGGCCAAAAAGTATAAAAATTTAATACAAGGCTCCTGATATATTGTTACAATAGCAGTTGAAAAATATTAAAAATACATAAGCACAGTTTTTTTTTATAAGCATTTAAAGATCAAATTTTGACAAAATTTATCAAAATCTCGAAAATTATCAATCATTGTAATTAATAAATTATAAAATGTTCAGTTTTTATAGCTAAGGATTGCAAATTCAACACAAAGGTTCTCGTAAATAGTTCATACTGTAACCAAAAAATCTAAAAAATATATGAACACACTTATTTTTTACAGACATTTTAAATTCAAATTTGGACGAAATTACATATTAAAAAACCTAGAATAACTATTTTAGTTATTTTGTTGTGATTGAATAATATTATTCGTGGGTACTTGAAACTTCTAAAGTGTACTATTATATATCTATGATAGTATCACGGTTTTTGTTGATGTATAACGTGTTATAAGTATCTAATGGATATTGTGATATGATTAATTTGGAATTTATTATAGGTACCTATTATAGGTCAATTTTTTGTTTAATACCATAGATATGTATACAATATGTCTTATACATAGACTGACATACCGTCACCGCTCAGAATCGTTTTTCTTATACAATGATATTATATCATTGAATTCAAATTTAATACCATCCATTATACAGTGACCCACTTGTAACCTACTGTACAGTAGAGCGACACCCACTTGCCCACCTTTTTTTTTTGAAAACCCGAGAATTCACTACAATTTCATAATTTAAACGCTCACAAAATGTTAACTTAATATGTCTGTACAACAACAAAAAATGTACACATACCTATACTATTTTGAGGTATTCAGGTTGCTGTAAATTGTAAGAACAATATTCGAGGAATATTGTAGCACGTTTTCAAGTTGTCTTACTCGTCAATAAAATCTTAATGAAAAGAATAAAACAAACCTTAAGTTTTTTGAAATCTGTACCATCATAAAAATTAAACTAAAATGTTTAGTGTTATAGTGTGTAATAATATAGCTCACAGCAGCTAAATGCATTGATTTTTATCATTGTACAAATTTAACTTTTTGTAAATGAAATTTAGCAGTAATGGAGATGTAGATCTGGGAGAGAAACATGCTCACATCAAGTATAGTGCTGAAGTAGACCCGAGAGAGATGAAGCCATGGTCTGCAGGTATAGTAGCTGGAGTAGACCCGAGAGAGTTTAGAGGTCATGAAAATCGGGAGAGTTTGCCGAATGATTATTTTATCTACCCGGGGACGGAAACCATAACAAATTTTGTGGTTTAGGGTTTTTCGGTTTTTAATCCAGGTTTTTTTCATCGGTTAACCATGACAAAAGTCTTAGGTTTTGGTTCTGGTTATGAACTAATACTAAGGTTTTGGGTAACCACTCGCATGGGTCTTTTTTATAAATAAAACAAGTACTGGCTTAAAGACCCGGTTACGTCAATAAACTCCAATCGATAATCATAACCACAATAACGGCATGGAAACCAAACGATCGTATGAAAAACAAACTTAAAGTCTTAAACAAACATTGCTTACTGCAGTAAAGTAAAGTCGTTACAAATCAGAGCACAAATGGAGAATCATTATAAGCCTTATTCGTGCGATATGTGCGACAAATCCTTCGGTAAGTATAGCACTTTGACGACACACCGGCGCACTCACACCGGCGAAAAACCTTTCGCGTGCGACGTCTGCGACATGTCGTTCAGTCAAAGCGGCAGTTTACAGAGACATCGACGGACGCACACCGGCGAAAAACCTTTCGCGTGCGACGCGTGTGACAAGCGGTTCGCTCAGAGCAGCAGCTTGACGGAACACCGGCGCACGCACACCGGCGGAAGACCGTACGCTTGCGATGTGTGTGGCAAATCGTTTGGTCAGAGTAGCGGCTTGACCAAGCATCGGCGCACGCACACCGGCGACAAGCCTTACGCTTGCGATACGTGCGACAAGTCGTTCGCCGACGGCGGTAGTCTGATAAGACATCGGCGCACGCACACCGGCGAGAGACCGTACGCGTGCGATTTGTGCGACGAGTCGTTCATCGAAAGTGGCCATTTGACGACACACCGGCGCACGCACACCGGCGAAAGGCCGTACGCTTGCGATGTGTGCGGCAAGTCATTCGGCCAGAGGAGCATTTTGACGAGGCATCTGCGAACGCACACCGGCGAAAAGCCTTTCGCGTGCGACATGTGCGACAAGTCGTTCGGCGAGAGAGGCAGTCTGTCAAGACATTCGCAGCACAAGCATTTCGACGAAAATGTGCGTCTTGCCATACAACGTGCCTTACTAACTATTGACCAAATATCCAGTATGATCCAATAACGGATTAAAACGGGATAAATCCGGTTAACATATTATTGGTTTGGTGGCACTGTTCCACCTCTAATATTATTTCTTGTAGTTATTTCTTGTAGTTATTTCTTGTTAATTGTATATTAATTGTATATTAAATTGTTACTTTGTCAAGTATGTTTGTAAAAATAAAATGTACTCATTTCACGTGGTGTTCAATATTTCAAAAATACAAAGTGGTTTTCAATTTTCCGTTTAAAATATTGAATATCATAAAGATTGTGTACTTTGGACTTCAAAAATGTTGTCAAGTTAAAAATATTTGGTAGCCCTTGTATAGACTAATATGAACTATAGTCAATATGTTTAACGAATTTGTTTTTCAATCTGAGGAGTGACATCTGCAATGAGGTGTTTTTCTGATTTTTACAATCAGTAGTCGTTTTAAAATTATTCATGTTCGCGGATGACTACACAGCACTAATTTATTTCGAAGATAATTGCGAAAAATTGAAACATATTGTCAAAATGGATTTAAGGTATTATATCTATGACATAATGAAAAAAAAATGTTAACAAATCGGTTTGAATGCCAATATAGTTACTATACGTACCTACTCAGCTTGTTGTGACCTGTTGGATATAACTTGATAATACATAAATGTAGAACTGGTATGACAAATTTTATTTGTAAACCAACTAAAATGGTATTGTCATTCAAATATTTAGGAGTGACCATAGATTTTAACCTGAAATGGTCATAACACGTACAGTATATTAAAAATAAAATAGAGAGCTTAACTGTATTATGTTACAAAATTCGATTTCTTGATAAATCAGTTATAAGACAAATATTTATGGCACTGTGTAATTAAATTCGATTATACGCCATACGGCATAACATTTTGGTGAGTCACTAATAAAGCATACATATTTGTATTTCACCGATTAGGTATATTAGATACATACTGAAGTTGAAAATTGAAGCATTATTTCGACTACTTATCGTGTACACGGACACAAAAATTAAAAAAAAAAACACATAATTGTAAAATCAATACATTCATCGTTCCACTCAGAATCTAAAAACTAAAATAAATTTAAATTGAATAATGTCTATAAATATTGCAAAAAGAGAGACAAAATATTTTCAAAATTATAATTTGTCTAAAAATGCTTACTTGGTAAACATTACAAATCCCTACAATTATTCATTTTTTAATTACAATATAAACAATAAATACGTATACTTTTTTTATTAAGTTTTTAATTTTGGTTAAGCACGAGATTGACATACATTTATGAACATTTTGAATTGTCTATTATGTGCAATTGTTTTTTAAATGTCTTACACCTGTAATATATTCAATTAAAAAATATTTTAGGTATATTTATGATGAGTTCAGGTCAGGGCTAAAGGGGCCCATGTACTCCTTGTTTGGGCCCCAAGCACTTAAAAATCCTAAGTTTTTTTTTAAATATAACGATTCACATAATATAGTCATTTACTACAAAAAAAAGTATGAATTTTTATTTGACGATATTATATTATTATTAATGAAATGTAATTAAATTAAATTAATGTACAATCATGTGAAATACTTGTACAGTTGTACAGTATATACACTACGGTAGGTAATAAAAGTGAATAGTCTTCTAAATAGAGTACTAAACAAATGAAAATCTGGGAGGTATCTCAATTAGACATGACGATAAATTTAAATCTGTATTTAGAGTTCTTATCGCTTCTTATCAATCGATTAGTTGGAATGAAAACACGTCTAAATACCTATGTTCCACGTTCGTTAGACTAAAACAGAAAATCCGCCACCTGCAATCCCGTTAAATAAAAAGTGGAAAACTCTACTCGTCTTGTATTTATCACTGTAAGGGCCGAAAATGACATCTCAAAACCAATCATAAAATTAACGACTGTTAAAAAGTACAAGTTTCTGACGACGAAATTATTTTAATGCGTACAATTATTTTGGACGTCATTATACGAAAGACCATTTTGTTCATTATTTTCGGTGATCACTCAACTATATCATTATTGTTACCCTTTTGATGGTCGCGATCCACAGGTTGGAAACCACGAACACCACAGATAATCGTGGTATCATTCTGCTACAAAGTAAGAAATTCGAAACTTTTTCAGTTGACTATTACTATATAAGATTAATATAATATAGATGATGGGCAGTATAAGAATGTTCTAATAAGCTTATATTATACTGTATTGATAATATTGAATTAATGTGAACTTAAGGGGATCGGAGTCGGAGAGTTTTTAGTACAAAAACAAGCCTTAGAGGAAAAACTCTCACGCCATAATATAGAATAGTCGGGTTGTTTTATTTTTTTATATTTAAACGAAGAGAACATTTTGCAAAAGCAGATTAAGGGCCGATTATAATTATAGAAGCTAAAATATGTATTTGAATAATGCACAATATTTGTTATTTTTAAAAATCTTCTCCAAGCACTATTTAAAGTAAAATGAAAAGTCGGAGGCTTTAATCTGACATGCAAAAACTTCTTACTTACGATTAAAAAAAAAAAAAAAAAAGATCGAAATACGACATAATGCGTGAGAGTTTTTCCTGTAAAAGCATTTTTGTTCATCTAAATATTATCAATATTAATAATATTCAGACGGTAGTTATACTATATAGTTAGATATTATATTTTCCAGTAAGGGATGTAATTCTAACGCTGTTCCTCCTCAGTTGCGATACTACAAGAAAAAATAAGGTATATTTTTTAGTATGAATCAATTAAATTTCCATAAATAATTCAGCTTTTTTGTGTTAAACAGTACATCTGAACATAATTTCTGCGTTACAGATGCATACCGTATAATACAAATTTAAATATATATATTTTTTTTTATAACGGTACTTGAAATATTTAGAGTTTTTGTCTTTCGAAATGCTACTCAATTCAAATGTGTAACCAAGATAAATTACAAGCACCAAATGTAATTACACTTACGAGTTACGGTTTTAAATTACATTTAAACGATAATCACTTAAAATGCAAATTTGTACCACAAACGTGAAACCATGTAATTTTAACAATCTTAGAGACTTTATTTCTTAAAACAAAATCCGTGGTCACTTGTCAGTATTTAAAATGATGAAATATTCATTATGATTATAAATTAAAAATTAAAATTAATATTCATTTTATATTTTTAGCTATGTACCTACTTATTTATAAATTCAAAAGGTAATAATTAATATAATGTCTCGAACAAATAACGTAAGCAGACAATGTTATAATGATAATAATAATATTTTTAATAATGCGATCAACGAATGGTTTTGAATTAGAAAAAAAAACAAATTAACTTAGATCTTTAAAAGTACCTATATTATTATTATGTCGTATGAATATTAGTATATAACCTATTAATCACTTATGATAAAAAACAAATGTATAAACAATAAAATAATGGTTTGCACAACTGCAGCGAGCTTGAATGTTTTAAATTTAGTTAAAAATATTACTTTAATAATTTATTATTTAGTTTTTCTAGGTCTGTGTTCAGTTTTGATAAAAAAAGGTTTACTTTTACCGGTTATTCAAGGTTAAATGCTCTACCCATGTGCTACTGTCACTGCTGTTGTGTAGTCAAACCACTCACATACCAAATTGTTGAAATCTGAAAAATAAATTATTAAAAACAATATTCCCTTTTGAGATTTTATTTACAAATTTACATGACAGACGAACCGCCCCTTCCGACTTACAATGGTCTGCAGTGTGGCCTAATGACGTAATGATCGTTTAGTGGACCGTTTCTTGGTTAAGTGTCTCAATTATGTATATCAGGGACGTACCGGATTCATGTGAAATAAAAACTACCACATTCTAGCTGACCACCGACCTCAGGGTCACCACCGATTTTATCTAAGAACATCGGACAAAGGTTTCAGAAATATGACTACTTAAGGGATACTTTTTGAAAATGTTCAAGCATTTAGCTTTAATGCATATAGCATTATCTACGGAAATTTATTTTTGAATTTAAAAAAAAAATATAGGAATTTTTCGAAAACCGGTTTTACGTTAAAAACCCGAGTTTTTCCCGATTAATTTAAAAAGTGGACTCTGAAAGTTTTAACATTTTCACCTCCCAACATAACCAACTAGATCCACTTTGGTACCAGAAGTTTTCGTCCTGTCGAAGTTGAATATTACAGTTGTATTTATTTTTACTACGAAACGTGCAGTGCAAATAGATCCATAAAAAATCAAAAACGATTGTAAGTATCGCCACAACGTGTTCACTTGACGCATAAAGCGATGCACTATTAATTAGACGTAAAAAAAAAGATGTTCACCAGACTTGACTTGGAAGTTTAATGTTTTAAACGTCTATTGAGCTCCCATATCGCCACACTCGTTTATTCGTATTTTGTAACATTATAATATTATGCTACGTTCAAAAATTCCAATTTCAAGACGATTCTATAGTCTATGTACAGAATTGTAGTTGTGGATATTATATTAACCATACTATACAGAATATACCTATCACAAATGTATTATTGTCATGCAATCCGAGGTAAAATATCGTCATATCATCATCTCGACGCAACACGCATATTATATTAGTTTTAATCCGAATTAACCGTAACGAACTCGAATTCTACTCGTTTCCGTGTTTAATAGTTTCAACAATGCGATCCACCGATGAATTATATTTACTCAAGCGCACGAGTAATGTGCATTGCAAACATGGGAAATCGCCCTCAAGTTTTGATAAATTCGTTAATGTTCGCAGTACAGTCGCCAAATAGGACCCGCGTCCGGGGAGTACGAATTATTGTTTAAGCAACTGCAACAAGATACATGTCTTTGACAATTATTATTATTAGAATAGATTGAGGATGGATTTTGAAACACTCGTGCGCTTGAGTATAATTTACTCTATATAATATGTTATAAACGATTTGGAAACAAAAAAAAAAAAAAAAGCCTGTACACTGCACACTATAATTCATTATATTGAGCGGCCATTG